CGGCAACCGTCGCCGGCAACCTATGGCCGTTCCCTAAGAGGTTCAGCGAAGGTTCAATGAAGCGCAGATCAATTTTTCCTCATACATAACACTATGCCCCTGTCACATCAAATAATTTCAGACATACTCGTTATGAGCCCGTCGATAGCACTGTCCGTAGTGCAGCAGACATTGTTGGCAACTGATAAGTTGTTGTTGCTCAAGTCAACAGAATTCAACCTTTCAGAAGCCGGACGCAAACCTGCAACCAAGCACATACGTAGTTTCCTTGTAAAAGAAAGGGATATCTACCTGTTTTACGGGCTTCCTCCACATTACCGTTCTGAAGAGTTACCAACTTATTCTCTGCTACTACTGGTACCGGATCACTGTGAGGTTTGACATTCGAAAGCGCGTTTTCATCGCCAAATACCAACACTGCCTGTAGAGATGTCATAACGATGAGAAGAAACACTAATTTTTCAAATAATTGCAAACCTCCGACACGTGATTGGTTTCAGGGGCGCTGTTCCGCTCGCAGTTACCTGTAGCCCTAGCAGATGATGGAGGTTTATGCTGTCGCAACTCCACATGCGGGGGCAAGCTCGCCTCGTGGAGATTCCTAGCAACAAAGCTTTTCACGCATTTCATCACATTGAGTCAATCAGAGATCTGTGATTGACTCCCAGGGTTATAGCGGGTGGAAGCAATGCCTCCTGGTTTCTCCAATTCGTGATCCAGACAGTTTTCTGCCCACTGACTGACACTGGGACTACTTCTGACTAATTTCTGTACAACGCTCATTTCAGAGCAGATATATTGACTTAAGTTTGAAAGTTCAAAAAATGAGCTGCAACACAAGGCTTTAGAACTGAATCATGACTGTGCAATGGGCTAACCAGAAAAATCGAGATTTAACAGTAGTCACCTCCCAAGTAGCACATAACAACTTTCGCACAAATACATATGTATGCAAGGGATGAAATGACTAGATACCTGTCATTTATATTGCGATCGAGGGTGATGCTAGCATAACTCGTACTGAATTCTTCTGGCTGACTTTGACGTTTGAACCCTGCACTTGTTTCAACATCCATCCATTTTATAATATGTTCACGACCCTGAAACATGGCGGAAAAAATTTAGTTGTATAGTCAGCATCTTATTTATCCGCATTATGCATGCCGGATGCAATCATGCGTTTTGTCTCCTGAGTGGGTAAGTATGGCGTAGGCCACTAATAAACAGATAAAAGGTTTGAGATGTCTTGAGTAGAATCATCAGTATCCGTCTTACCTTCAATATAAGAGATGCTGGAGGGAATTGTAAGGGGTTATTCCCAACATAAAGCTCAACGAGAGAGTTCATTTTTCCAATACGTGAAGGCAACTGCTTCAGCCTATTACAGGACAGATCAAGCGTATGCAAAGAAAGACGACAAAGCTCTGAAACAGCTTTCAGTATCTGCTTAGCTTGAAGTATATAGAATCGTGCAAACCTGAAGGAAAGCATTCGAGCAAGTTTTGACGCAAATTCAACACACGTAACATTTTCAGCAACGCCATATCAGAAGGAATGGTTTTCAAAGAGTTGCAACTCACATCCTACAAACGCTGACAATTGAATAAAGTTTGCTGAACAGAGAAGCTATTCAATGACTGCTGAAAAACTGACCAGCTCCGCAAGGGTCGAAGAAAGTTGCCGAATTTCACGAGGAATAGAATCTAGGCGGTTGCCAGTCAGTAGAACAATCTCTAAGGGCAGTTCAAATAAGCTCAGCGGTAGTTGGACAATTTTATTGTTGCTGAAATAAGGAACTGCCTACAGCCACGTAATAAAGCATACCTCAGATCAGTAGCGTTGCAATACATATCCGTACCATAGTTGAAAGCTACATACCTCAGATCCAGCACAGTGAGCGAACGCAGGAAAAGAATATTACGCGGAACGCTTCGCAGTGCGTTATCACGAAGACGTAAAGATTCCAAGGAGCGCCATTCGCAAACACATGTTGGAATGTCGCTTAACCGATTGCCACTGAGATCTGAATGAAGATGAGCCAATAGCACTCAATTTTCGAACTTTCATCGGTTCCTGCGGTGGACAACCACTACTTTCAACCTTATCTTTTAAGAGTGACTCACCTAATGATATGAGGTCAGAGAGATCGTATTTGTTGGACAATTCATGAGGATATTCTTTCATTTTTCGGCCAGCCAGATTGAGAGCACCGCATAGTTCTGCTTCTTCAAATATCTTCTCCATGGATCCTAAAGTACAATGGAATTAGACAATTACGAATAATCACAAATCTTAGGACGATGAGATGCCGATTTTTACCTTCATATGCCGAATAGACTGTCGACCAGATAGTGCCCTGTAGCCACGCACGCGTTATAGTCCCGGGTGCAGAACCACGAGCAAGCTGGCCTTTCGCAGAATGTTTACGATCACAAGGCCTGTAAGTAGTAAGTTAAGGCGAGGGTGATACAAAATTCGCTACACTGTGCTTTTAGTCCGAATCTAGATTACATGACCAAAATCCAAATAGTACTTTCAAGGGCGCTTGCAGTGCAGACAAGATACAAGGTACGAATTCATGGCATTAATTGACTAAGTATAGGCGATTCGTAGCACATAAAGACTGCGGACAT